TTTTTTAATATCTAATATTTTTACATGCTGCTAGTGAGAGAACCTGTTGTTAAAATATTTGAATCCCACCACTGTATATAACCATTACTTATCAAAGTCATAAAATATATGTACATTACTTTTCTAAATTGTTTGACTTAACCACCGCCTGACATGGCCTAGTGGAGTTAGAGCGCTCGACTCGTAGTTGTGGATCATGGGATCGAAATCTGTTGCCGAAACGAAAATGCTTATTTTTTCAGCTGTGGTTGTTAATAGCATTATTCCTTCATAAAGAGTATCTCAAGAGCTGGTGGTGGATAGTGTTTATAAGCTGCTTACCCTCTAGTCTGTAACTTTAAAATTAGAGACAGATAGCGCAGATAGCCCTCGAGTGCTTCGTACAAAATTAAACATGTAACCAAACAAGACATCGCCACACACACACACACGCACGTTTTAAGTAAAGAGATTTCGAAACCATACATCACAATAATATTGGCAATAAGTTTTAGATGACTTATCGTCAAAAAACAAACACGGTTCACTTATGGGCTGCTTCTGGATAGTTTGTCTGAACAAGTGTACTTAACGCTTTTTAACATTACCAGCATTAGTTATTTTAACGGCGCCCATCGGTGGCTCAGTGGTAAGCTGCTTATTAAGCCAAAATTTGAGGATCAGTTCATGTAGTACACAAAGCGCAGTTAATGGCTAATGTAACGAAAGTTGTCGTTTGTGAAGTAGCATTTGTAAGATCGGTGACATTATTGGGTTATACATGTTCTTCGTTTCTCCCTCCCCCATTTTTTCTCTATTTACAAGTTATGTAAATTCGTTATTTTCCGACTACTTATTCAAAACGTTTCTTATTTTCATAATTTTTGCTTTCTTATTTAATTACACTGGTTTAAGAGGAATTTTTAGCCCTTTCCCCATAACTTGTTCAAGTGACTTGTTTGCCTTATTTCATCGCAATTTGTGAATAAATAACGTTTCCTACGTGGTGTGTTAGCACTACTCGCAAGGATGGCGTGATATTAGTACCATCTTCTGTGTTTTTGCCCAGAATGATCGTAATAAAATTCATTGATGTAAGATATGAGTACAGATGCTCATTTTAATATCAAACACGCGTTTTTCAGGAACAAGCAAGTATTATGCCGCCAAGAAATTTATGCCGCTTTTTTGGAACACTTTCATTAACCATCCCCCAAAAAACGTACATCACGTATAATAATTAAACGAACTGCCTAAACATCACGTTAGTGTAGCTTATATAATGTGTAAAGTTTAGTATACTCTAATCCGTAATAGCGATGGCACACGACGAGATGCGCATTCGCATGTAATTCTGTTTGAATACAAGAAGGAAAACAACGCCTCTGCAGCCACAAAAAAATATCAAACAAGTTTATGGAAATGTTTTGAACGTTCGTAAGTGTCAACGATGGTTCAGCAAATTTCGTTCAGGTGACTTTAGCATTAAAAACTGTGATGGCAGAGGCCGATATGTTGGAATTGATATTGATGCTCAGAAGACGCTTGTTGAGTCTAACCCAAGGTAACACATTCGTGAAATGGCCTTCAAATTGCAGGTCTCTCATGAAACAATACGTAAACATCTAAGGACTATAGGAAAACTCCTTAAAGAAGGTGTTTGGGTGCCTCACGAACTCTCGTTTCCAACGTGTAAACGTTGCATCGTCTCTTTTGGCGCATAGTGTGTGTGAACCATTTTTGGACAGAATTGTCACCGGTGGTGAAAAATGGATTCTTTATGCGAATATTAAATGCCAAAAACAATGGCTCAGTTAAAGACAAAATCCACTTCCAACCCTAAAACCAGGACTCCATCCACAGAAAGTGATGGTTTGCATTTGGTGGGACATCAAATGAGTAATTCATTTCGTACTCGTCTGTCCACTGTGAACTGTCAATGCAGAGATCTGTAGCCAGCAACTGGAATGTTTAAATCAAGCCATTCATCAGAAATGCCCTTCACTCGTCAATCTGAAAGGTGTTTTTTTTCTCCATGACAATGCACGTCCACATATGGCACGTTTGACGCAACACAAGATCATGGAGTTGGGTTGGGAACTTCTCCCCCACCCACCATATTTTACAGATATGATACCAGCAGATTACCATTTTTGTTCATTTGCTGCAACACCATCTTAATGGGAAAATGTATGCAAATGTGGAAG